GAAATGATGATGATGATGATGATGATGATGATGATGATGATGATGATGATGATGATGATGATGATGATGATGATGATGATGATGAGGATGGTGATGAGCTCGTTGCTTGTCTTTGCGTGTAACCTTGTTAATTCACGATACTATATTATTATATCCTCACTATTCAATAATAAAACGTAGCTTCCTGATAATAATGAAAAGAATATAATCGATCTGATGAGGAAAATGATTATGATATTTGTATAATGATGACGATTACGATAAAATTATTATTGTGTAATATTAACAACAACAACAACAATACTAATTACAACAGCATCAACAAAATATAAATACTGATTCTAACAAAAGCATTTCGTTTTCTGGGCCTCGATTCTCCGTTTATTTTTTATTCATTATGCACCCTTTCCAGTCATCACATACGTGAGATCATTTGTTACTATAGTATAGTGTTGTTGTTATTGTGTTTTTTTCCTTCTTTGTTTTATTATTATTATTATTATTTTAGTTATGTTCCTGATGAAGCCCAGATGCTGAAATGTTGAAGAATTTCTGCTAAATAATATCATGGAAAAAACCCAACACAAAATAATTGTGAACTATACCAGTGTCTCTAATTAGGATTTCTTCATCTCAACAATGGTTGTGGTTCTGATGGTGGTGATGATAATGATAATGAAGTTGATGATGATCCAGATGATAATGATGGTAATGGTGATGTTGATGATGATGATGATGAGGATGACGACGACTGAGATTCTTTCCCTCCTCCCCAGCTGCCATGGCGCCAAAAGTTGTTGACCTGGATGACGTTCTCACGGCCTGGGCCTGGACAGCCTTTCTGCGCACGCGCAGCAAGGACCACAACAAGCTGACCTTTGATGACGTCAAATTTGAGGTCGTCTGGGACAGGGTCAAGTTTTTGGCAGGAAAACCAGAATACTCGGACCAGCAGAAGCTGGAGAAGCCAAATTCACAGGTCGTCTTCAAGTGAGTATTTTTTCAGTCTGTGGTTCTT